GGTACTCATATGTAGAACTGATTTACATGCTCTACTTGCAGGAACTGAAGTGCTTAGGTCTGAACCTGATACATATCAAGAGGCCATGGAATCCAAAGATAGGGACAAATGGAAAACCCTATGGAGGAGGAATGCAATCTTTAAAGGTAAATGAAACTGGACACTGGTTCCAAAACCAAGTAATCAGAAGCTGACCAATGTAAGTGGTGTTTAAACTTAAAGAGGGCATTTCCATAGCTGACCCACCTAGGTACAAAGCCAGACTTGTGGCTAAGGGGTTTACCCAAAGGGAGGGGATATACTTTAATGAAGTTTCTCCCCTGTGGTAAAATACAAAACAATTAGGTTAATGCTGTTTGTAGTGCTCATCAAAGACTTAGAACTAGAGCAGTTGGATGTCACCACTGCATTTCTTCATGGAACACTAGAAGAAAAAATCTATATGAGTCAACCCATGGGGTTTACTGACCCTAAATTCCCTGAACATGCTTGCCTTCTAAAACGATCCCTATATGGGTTAAAACAGTCCTCTAGGCAATGGTACAAAAGGTTTGACACCTTTATAATAGGTATAGGATTCACTAGAAGCCAATATGACAGTTGTTTCTATTTTAAAATGGATAATAATCTGCCTATTTACCTGCTTTTATATGTGGACGACATGTTGTTGATCAGTAAGTCAAAAACCCTGATCAGTGAATTGAAGAAAAGACTAAACACTGAATTCAGCATGAAAAACCTAGGGAATGCTAAGAAAATTTTTGGCATTTAAATAAACAGAGATAGAAAGATGTGTGAACTCAGACTTCAGCAATAATCTTACTTACTTAAACTAGTCACAAAGTTTGGCATGGCTGGTGCCAAACTGGTCTCAATGCCCCTTACCAGTCAGTTTATTCTTAGTAAGTCTCAATGCCCCAAAACTGAGACAGAGCTGTTGAAAATGGAGTCTGTCCCTTATGCAAATGTTGTGGGGTCATTGATTTATGCTATGATTAGTACTAGGCTAGACCTAGCCTTTGCCATTTCCATGTTAAGCAGGTATATGTCCAATCCTGGTATGGAACATTGGACTGCTCTAAAATGGATGCTAAAATATATAAATAGTATTGTTTGTGTTGGGCTTGAATACTGTAAAAGAAATACTGCAATTGATCTGGTTGGTTTTGTAGATGCTGATTTTGCAGCTGATAAGGATTCCAGAAAATCAACAACTGCATATTACTTCACACTGGGTGGAAATTGTATAAACTGGAAATCACAGTTGCAGCCTATTGTAGCACTGTCTTCAATAGAATCAGAGTACATTGCAGTAACTGATACAGTTAAAGAAGCCTTATGGCTGAAAGGAATTCTGACAGAAGTAAAACTAATTGGTGGAAAGGTGACAGTGTATTCAGACAGTCAGAGTGCGATCCACCTAAGCAAAAATCCAATGTATCACGAAAGAACTAAACACGTGGATGTCCGTTATCACTTCGTGAGGGACCAAGTTGCAAATGGAATCATTGAACTGAAGAAGGTACCCACAGAAGAGAATCTAGCAGATATGGGCACCAAAATTATCACTCCAGCTAAGTTCAAGCCCTACTTGAACTTGCTGTATATCAAGTAATCTTGAGTGATAAAGAGCTATGACAGAATGGGACAGGGCAAGCTGCACAAAAAGTCTGTTTCCAGTGCTTCCAAGGTGGAGATTGTTAAATATGGAAGCCTGAAACAGCGTCGTTTAAGTAACAATAATACGACGTCGTTTTAGGCATATTAACTTGGACGAATTCAGACCACAAGATGCACTCCAGATCTAACGGCCAGGATCAACCACGAAGTCAAACCATATATAAGTGCACGTTCGTTCAGATTTGGCTGAGAGAGATACAGACGTTAGGGTTCTCTGGGTTTGCACTTCTCTGTGTTAGGGTTGAGATTATTTCTTCCAAATTGTGAGTTAAATCAGTCGAGTGATTAGGGGGTTTAATCATTCAGGTGAGAGTGTTGTTCTCTCGGGTTAGGGATATTCAGAGAGTATCTTGTAAGGCTGGTTGCTGTTGTAATCAGGCAGATCTGGTGAGTGCTGAATCTGTGTAATCTTGACTGTTTCTGATAATCGAAGTGCAGCGAGCTCATATCGTTCTTGAGCTCAACGTGGATGTAGCTTATCCATAAAAGGATAAGTAAACCATGGTAAATCGTGGCTTGTCTGTGTGTTTGATTTTGTGGTGTTTTCTTGTTTCTTGGTGTGATTGCTTTGTGTTGGTAGATCAGTATTAAGTTTTCGGCTATAACACTTGCCATTTGAGATTAAGAAATCATCTTCAGATGGGGCTTCAAGTTCCACCATTGACCAGTTTGGATTCTCCATCTTGACCACGTCAAGAGTGCATCTATGAGACTTCTTTCTTCCACCAAGCCATCGCCGAATTTTAAATTTTGATTTTCGCATCTTCATGTAGACCATCTTGCCCTTTATGAGAATGGATTTTTGACCATTCTACCCTTCTTCATATCATATTTTATTATCGTTTTGAAACTTTTTAGGTAGGAAATGGTCGTTAGGTTAAACGTTGGCTGGGAAAATGTTGTTTACTCTTAGATAAATGTAAAAGAGATTTATAATCTTAAAGGAGTAACACTACACTCACTAACACTTTTCACTAACTTTCTCTTACTAACGTCACGTGTCAGTTTCCAATTCATCAGTTCACATGGATCCTGCCTATCCAATAATAGATCCCACCTAATCAAGCCAAGCACAAACTCCCACATGAGATTAGTGAGAGGAGTTAGTGAGAGGGGTTAGTGAGGTTAGTATTATTGATCTTAAAGAGTCAAGCTATTATTTTTTAATACAAATTTGTAACACAAATTGATGACCATTGATTCATGGTAATCCAACGGCTTAAAAATTATTTAGTTGGCATACTATGTTAGAAAATCAGTCTATCGAGGAACTTAATAACTGTGTCAAGAGTAAAACGCCGAGGTTTAATGAAGAGTAAGATTTTAGTATAAAAAATTTGAATTTTTGATCACAAATCATCCTTCTATCTATAGCATTATTTTAAGATTTTACTAACCATAAATTGGTTTGTGATCAAAGAACTAAAACCCTTCCATTCTTCTCTTTTCATTTTCCCTATGAAATTGTAACCAGAGAACAAAGGAATTATCTTTAGTACAGGGTCATCGACTAATTTAATTTCAATATCACTGCTAAGACATATATATGAAATCTAATTTTCTTTTGTTGTTGAAATTAGGGTTATGGATAAACAATTAATGATTTTATGAATACACTAATTGAATAGTGTCACCATTAAATTAAAATTGTGAGGCTAAATACCTTTGGATCCTTCAATAATTCAAGAATTTCTTAGGAACTCTGAACTATAAAACGTTCTTCGTTTGCGCCACTATGAATTTTTTTCTTGTTATTACGGAAGAGAATTTTCATTCGGTAATGCCTCTGAGAAAGGAGTTTATCTTATTGTCTAACGCATCATTATATCAAACAGGAGAATAAATAATCAAACTCTTTTCTTTTTCTGTTTAATTCATAAAAATTTTCTTGTGAGTGTTTTATTTTTTTTCTTCTTGGGACCACGACGGAAGAAGAGAAACAGATGGATAAAATCGAAGAAACACAGTATGTCAAAGGGTATGATGAACAAAGTGAGCATGCTTGCTTCTAAGTTCCAAGTTTGATGGTGAAGATTGAAGAATGCCAATAATTTCACGAGGAGCTGGAATTCAACTCTAAAAGTCCGATTTTGTGTGCCAATGTTAACAAAAATACAACTCTCTGGACCACTGCTCCATTTTCTTCAAGCTTGTAATTAAACTTCTCTCTTGAGAGTTTTACTTCTTTTTTTCTTGGAACCTCGACAGAAGAAAAATAAATATATCACTACGAAATACATTTTGTCAAAGGCGTGATGAACCTTACCCCCTCATAGTGATGGATGCCTAATATGAAAAATAGCAAAACAAGACAAACTAGTACAAAATGCGCATGCATACTTCTTAATAAGTGCAAGCTTAGAAAAGTAAAGCAATTTAGAGAAATCTTCAGAGAGATAAGTTCAAGTTTTGGTGGTGATGTTGAAGGATGCTAATGATTTCATAGGGAGCTGGATTCCACCGTCTAAATTTCTAATATCGTAAGCCAATGTTAACAAGAATACTATTCAGTGGACCACTGCTCCATTAATGGTGGAAAGAAATCTTGCTACCCTTTAAAAAAAATGATTTTTCGCTTGTTTTTCTGTCGTAGTTCTACATGAAATTTAAAAAAAAATGATATTTGATGTTCAAGCTAATTTAACTTTTCTGGTTAGTTTTACTTTTTTATTTCTTGGAACCTTCATAGAAGAAGAGAAATAAACTGATAGATCGATTGGGGAAATACACTTAGTCAAGGGACATGATGAATCTTACCCTTGATAATGACGATACAATGTGCATGCATGCTTCTCATTACAAACTAAGAAAGTAAAGAAATTCAGTTTGTAACGAGAAAAGTTCCAAGTTTGGTGGTGGTGAAGAACGCCAATAATTTAGAGGGAGCTGGACCATCCACTGGACCACTTCACAATTTCCTTCTCTCTAAATATGAAGATAATTATGCAAAAAAATTGGCCATCCTTAATAAAAATGGCTTGATTGTTTGTCTTGTTGGTGTAGATTGGAATTTCAAATAGTTATATTTGATGTTCAATCCAATTACATGTTCACGTAAAATATGATACAGCAACTCATATAAGTTTACGATCTTATTATATATTAGGATTTTATACTTCCTTAAAGTTGTGTGTTTGACTAATTAATTGTTAATATGGTTGAATTTGACCACGATGAGCTTAAACTTGCCTAACTTTATAATTAAATTAACCAATAGTCAACTCATAATGAAACTAATCAATACCCATACACGTTTAAATTGATTTTCTTTGATCACAATATTCATTTTTCCTTATAAAATTTGCAGTCAAGAAGAAAAAATAAACCATTACATAGCTTTACAGACTATCTAAGTAATTTCCAGACTAAGGCTGGAGCCCATGCAATGGAGTATATTACTCTCACTATTTCCTCTCCATGATTTCAACACCATTCATTCAATCTCCACCACCTTTTGCCTTCACTATGATCATCAGGAGAAGCACAGTAACCATTAATCTTCTCGTGATCCTTCTCGGCGTTGTCCCGATATGTGTAAGGACTCAACATTGTGGCTGTGAAGCACACTTGTGTTGCAGTGAATTCGGCTACTGTGGCACTGGATTTGCCTATTGTGGCGCTGGGTGCCAGGGGGGGCCATGTTATAATGGAACAACGCCGACTTACGCTACTACGCCGACTCTACCACCTCCGCCGCCGCCATCTCTTTGTCATTGTCCGGAAGACCTGTGCTGCAGCCAGTATGGTTACTGTGGTTCTGGTGAGGATTATTGTGGCATTGGGTGTCTTGACGGTCCCTGTTACGCGCCACCGAGCCCTAACAATGTTTCTATTGAGGATATTGTGACAAAGGGATTTTTTTATTATATAGCTGACCAGGCAGGATCAGGGTGTCCTGGGAAGGAGTTTTATACAAGAGATGCTTTTCTAAATGCTACTGATGTCTACTATTTGTTCGGTAGAGTTGGTTCTGAAGATGATTCTAAACGTCAAATTGCAGCTGCTTTTGCTCATTTCACTCAAGAAACTGGACGTAAGAACCCATTTATTCCTTTTTTCACATGTTTTCACAAGTCTTTGATTACATAAATTCAAGCTATCCATTATATATTCCTCTCTTTGTAGGAGAAATTCTTCTCGACAACGAGCATTGATACAACCATCAAATCATGAGACGAGTGTATCTCACTCGTGTTGATGTGGCATTCCATAATTTGATGATTGTACTAACATTGTTGTAGGGAAGAGTTTTTCCTTCTTCCAGTAAATAATGGTATCTTTCTAGAACAAATTTTTTAATTAGATGATGTATTAGTATATGATTTATCTGGTAGACATGGGAAGATAAAAATTAAGTGAAAACTTTTTTTTACTGAAAACTGTAAAATTTTATTTCTCAACTATATATCAAATGAGAGTTCAATTACTTAATTTTATATATATATGTTGTAAGAAAATAATTTGAAAAGTTAGTCGTGAGTGCCACAGTGTGCCAACCTCCTCATGCCATGTGTCAAAGACAAATATAATATATATTTTATTTTATTTAAAATAGACACGTGTTGCGAGCAGAGCTAATGACTATTGCCGTTGGAATTGTCACTAAACCTCCTCAAATAGTTTATCCCAGTAAATATTAAAAAACAAAAATTCAGTTACTATGTTCACTTAACAAAATCTAATAATTAAATTTTATTGGATATTTTATTGGATTCCTTTTAACAATTTCTTTAATTAATTCCCTTATTAAAACTAACAAGCAAAACGTTTTTTTTTTTTTTTTGTCTAGATTTTTGTTACATAGAAGAGTTAAATGGTGTTGCTAAGGATTACTGTGATGAAACAAATGCCGTGTACCCATGTGTACCCGGCAAGCTCTACTATGGCCGCGGACCGATTCAACTTTCATGGAATTATAACTACGGACCTGCCGGAAACAATGTCGGAATCGATGGCTTAACCTATCCTGAAATTGTTGCCACTGACCCTCTTGTTTCTTTCAAAACAGCCTGTTGGTTTTGGATCAACCGTGCACAATCTTACTTACAGCAAGGATTTGGTGCAACAATTCGAGCTGTTAATCCTGCAGAATGTGATGGAGGAAACCCTGGAAATGTTCAAGCTCGTGTTGACTTTTACCTTGATTATTGCCAAAAATTTGGTGTAGATCCTGGAGAAAATCTCTATTGCTAGCGTGTTGATTTTCCTGTTTAATTAATAATGTCTCTTGTTATGCAAGAGACTTTGATTCAGAAATGCCTCTAAATTGAGCTGGGAAAAGGGTTAACCTCGTTGTGTAAACCAGTCGATATATATTAATGAATAAAGAGGAAAATAAATAATCGTTTACTCAATTCTTATTCGTAATAAGGGACGAAGAAGATGATGATGTGTTTTTTAGTTATAAAAATTTCACATGCCATCAAAGTTTTTTCAAAGAATCACGTTTCTGTTCTCATCTTTTCTTCTGTTTGGACTTTTGAAAATCTATTTAACATGTGACTAGAGGAAGTTTGTATGTTAACCATGATTTTTTTTTTTTTTTTTTTTTATAAAAAAGAAAATTGACATGATTTCTCATCATTTTTAGGAACCCTAAAGTCATATTTTTAAATTATTTTTAGGTAATTAAATGGTTCAATAAAAATTTTTAAATATATTATTCAAAAATTTTTAAATTAATTTTTTTTATTTGTTAATAATGATAATCGCTTCAACTCTTATGACTAATAATTTTAGAATTCAAAAAATGAGTTGAGATAGACATTTAGACAGCCTAATATGAAAAAAAAAAAAAAAAAAAAAACAAAAAAAAAACATATTTTTAGTCGTGCATCGAAAGTTGAAATTAGTAAATGTAACAGGACAAAAATTTTGACCATTCAGTTTCCTTGTGTCAGTTGTCATGTCAACAAATCTTTACAAACAGTTAAAATTATATGATAATTTAAGAGGAATTTCACCGTTTTGCCAAAAGAAGAAAACAATTGATATAAAAATATGATTTAAATAGTTAAAAGCCGAACGACTTCCACCTACCCCAAAGTTTGGCCCAAAGAAAGATGGGTATAAAAAATTTAAAAATAATAAACAAATACTTTTTATCATGTTCAATTAAGAATTTTTATCTATTAAAAGATAATATAGTAATTTTATTCTCACCCCAAGCCTATTTGCACAACCTTCTTATATCATCGATCGATTTTTTAATCAGATTTAACACTGACCCTTGTTGACGTACATTAGAAATAGAGATCGATGAGCATTCAAGTCTTTTCATCATTTTTTATCTTTTAGCATATGAAAATTTCTAATAGAACATGACGAAAAGTGGGTATTTATCATTTTTAATTTGTCATTTTTAAACCTTTTGGATACCACTTTATCTTTACAGCAAATTTTAGGCATGTGTAAGTTGTTCTCCCATAGTTAAAAGTACGTGATTTCATTCTTTCTACGGTGGCTTTGCTGACTTATTTAATTACGTTTGAATTAAGTTTGGTTTCTCGCATTTGTACGTTTTCCGATAATCTTTGATATCATTAATAGTTCACTAATAAACCTATTATACTTAATTAACTTGTTTAATATTTAAGAAACAAAAAAAAAAAAATTTAATCAATTGTGTGTGAATATTGATTTCGAAATTTCAATTCATAACATTATAACATAACTTTTAAGGCCGAACGACTTACGCATACCCAAGGTTTGCCGAAATGACAAGTTGGTATCCAAAAGGTTTTGAAACGACAAACAGGTAACTTTCATCATGTGCTGTTAGTGATTTCTGTTTGTTCATAGTGAAAAGACTAAAATGCCCTTGAAAATTTGATATTTTAGTTCTTTATAAATTTAAAAATTTCTAAAAAACCCCATAGATTTGCTAATTTAACTAAACACCCCCATATATAAAAAGTTTGTTAAATGATAAAAACACCCCCACCACCTGCAGTGCCAGATTCCGGCCACCACAGCCGGAAACTGGCCGGGAAATTGTGTTACGACGCAGACCCGTCGGATCTGTGTCGTAACGTGTCGATCTGGTCTTTTCCTGCTAGATCCGTGTTGAGGCAGTAGATGGAGTTTTGCGGCCTCGACGGCCAGATCTGACATTTTCCAACCAGATCCGTGGTTGATCTGGCTGTCGTGGCCGCAAAACTTCATCTGCGGCGTTGACGGCCAGATCTGGCCGTAGATCTGGCCTTTTGATCTGGCAGAAAAAGGCTAGATTGACGCGTTACGACACAGATCCGACGGGGTCTGTGTCGTAACGCAATTTTCTGTCAGATTCCGGTGGTGGTGGCCAGAATTTGGTACTGTAGGTGATGGGGATGTTTTTGTCATTTAACAAACTTTTTATATATGGGGGTGTTTAGTTAAATTAGTAAACCTAGGGGGTTTTTTAGAAATTTATAAAAAACTAAAATATCAAACTTTCAAGGGCATTTTAGTCTTTTCACTGTTAACAAACAGAAATCACTAACAGCACATGACGAAAGGTACCTGTTTGTCATTTCAAAACCTTTTGGGTACTAATTTGTTGTTACGACAAACCTTGGGTATGCGCAAGTCGTTTGGCCTAACTTTTAATGGCTATATACAAGTAAAACATCTCAATAGTCATAACAATAGGATTAACTAATTTATTACTATAAAGAGTTTATTACTTCATAGATGTGTAGTTGCAAAAAAAATTTATTTTATAATTTATGTTTTAGTAGTACAGTATTAGGATTTAAATATATTTTTAACAGTATTAAGATTTCAAATTTAGTGCTTCAATTGCCTATTTTTGAAATGGATATAAGATCATGTCTTGGACCTATCAAATATAAGTTTTCTTGATGAAATTGTAAATGCAGTTGTTGTATGGTCAATTGATGTGAAGTCACAGACAATTGCTAATTGTTTTAAACATTGTAAGATTAGAACCCCCGATGTTGATGAATTGCAAGTTACAAATTAAGTAGATGAGGAGAATCAAAGCGTCATAGTAGAAATGAGTAATTATATTCGATAACTTCACTACACTAATTGAATGGATATTAATAATTTTCTCAATCATCCAAATGAACAATAAGCTATATATGTTTTATTTGAAGAAGAAATTATTGCTACAATTAGACAATAATATAAAGAAAATAATCATGAGTATGATAGTATGGAGATACAAAAAATTTCATGCCAAGAAGCTCTAAATATACTTGAGACGCTATAAATATTTTGACTTCAACAAGAAGATGTCCATGTTAGCGAGTAATATACCTGTAAGTTGAAAGACGTGGTATCAACTTTAAAGCATAAATTATTATCTCAAACAACTTTAGATAAATATTTTATTTGATCTTAAACATTTAATATAACATAGCATATATATATATTTTTTTATAATATACAGATTGTTATTACTATGTAGATACAACTTTCTTTAAGACGAGAATTAGAAAAATTATAACTTATTACAATGTGGAGTTTATTCTTATTTATAATTATCCCAAAATGGGAATATATTTTTTTATGATTATGTAAAGTTTATTCTTATATAGAGTATTACTGTAAAGATATTTTAGTGTATATATATCCCTAAGAAGCACCCACTTTTTTTCAAAAAGAAAAAAAAAAATTATCATGTATATTGTTGTGCGGGAAATCCAGAGCAAATAAATACCTTTTTGGCATGTAGATATCTCAAGATATGAATTCTATGATCAAGGCCGAAGATCACGCTACTTCCTTTTTTATCGTATTTGATTCCATCTCCAACTCAACCATGTAATGGCACTACATTAACCTAATTGTAATCTGTTTCTAGGGAGAGAGAGAGAGAATAAGTCGCAGAAAACCAATTACAAACTCCTTGTAGATTGAATTATTGTTTCAATACATTCAATAATATAACAGTGGATGTAAGTCTTGCATTACAAGCAATCACGCCACTTAAAAAAGTATTTTTTGTTCTTTGTGTTTTGTGTTACTTATTGCACATTCATCATCATATCATTCTATTGTTGTCAATCACGTACCTTTAGTTGGTGCAAATTTTTGCGTCAACATATATAATAACCCTTGATTATTACAATAAATTTGTTTTATATAGGTAATACTACATTAATAAACATTAAACATTTATCACTAACTTTTTCTCACAAACGCTACATGTTAGTTTGTAATGGGTTTCGTCTGCCCAACAATGAGTCTTACCTCACCAAAGTGAACTAAGTTGTACAACCGAGTCATACAATCAAACAAAAAACAAAGGACAGAGTAGTCATTTTACATAAATTTTGTCTGTTTATATGACTTTGTTATATATATAAGTAATACTTATACTTACAATTGAGTTATATAATCAAATCATACAATTAGATAAAAAATAAAAGATAAAATAATTATTTTACATAAATTTTATTTAAATTTTATCCGTTTGAATGACTATAACTCAATGGTAAGCAATTATATATATATAGTTTTACATCCCAAAATTGGGATGCTGCTGTCGATGAAAAAGAGACAAGTCAAAGAAACACAAAGTACCGTTTTCTCAACTTATCAACCAAATGTTTGAAAACAAATAAAACACTTTTTAATTGCTTTATTTATTCTTTCTTTTTCTGCCAAATTTCTCTCTTCAGGTCTCATTTTTCTCCAACTGCAACCAACCACTGGAGCTCAGTCCTCGCACCTTGGAATTTCTCACAGTACCTACTAATATTCACAACTTCCCTCATCTCATATTAATCATTCCATCCAGAAATTTTTTGAAAATATCATTCAATTTTGTTGTTATTTTTTTTGTTAGTACCTAATTAGCCTTATATAAATCTTTATTTGACATTCATAATGTAGCTTTTTTATTTTTTATTTTAAAAGTAAACAAGTTTAAAGAAAAAGTGAAATTTACACAGTATTTGTTTTCACCATCGAATATTCTAGTTTATAAATATTATTTTAAATACCTTCTTATTCAATTAATATTGCTATATTAAATTGATTCTAACTATGTATAAATATTTGAATTGATGAAAATCTTGTTTCTAGCAGTAAATCACAATTGCTAGATTTATGAATATCAAAGAGATCCTTAAATTTCCCTTAAATGTGCGGCTCAATTTACTGTGTAGGCAGTGATTAGAAACCCGACCCATGTAGTGACCTAGCTAGGCCACTGGGTCTTGGGTCAAGCAGTTTAATCGGCAGGTCAAACCGGTGTCCCAAGTTTAAAATCTAACAAAAACACCCCTAAAAATTACATGTAAGTTCCTATAGGTTTGAAATATTGCAAAAACACTCTAAACACCATGGTTGACATCAGCATAAGGCATGTTTCTGACGACGACAACACTCCCCATTACCACAAAAACAATCCCCTCAGCCTCTTGACCAAAACCCATCTTACCCCTCTCTTGTTCGCCTCCCTAATTGCCGATGACAACGAGCTTTTTTTGGCTACATTGTTTTGCGGTTTCTGATCAATTCACTCACCAGAAATCTACGTTGTTGCTACCATTCCGTTCACTAACCATTTCTCTTCAAAAGCCCTAATACTCCGGTCTTAAATTGTTCATATATTAATGTCTTAATTTTTAAGGTTTTGAGTACATAGAAAAATTTGTAACCCGACCCAATGAAGGCTTTGGGTTGCGGTTGAATTGGTTGAACGGGCTGGACTGGGCAGGTTCCTAATCACTAGGAGTTGGTGAAGGTTGATTTTCTTTATTTTTATTAAATGTAATTTCTATGGTACTTATCTAACGTCGCTATTCATCATGTACTTTAAACTATTATTTTATTTATTTATTTATTTTTATCAATATGCGGAATAGGGATAAAATAGACATTTCAAACTTCATTATTAGCTATGTAGCGAAATATGTCAATAATGATAGTTTTTTGACTAACGGCAAACGTGGCACGTGTGCCTCATAGTTTTAGTAAAAACTAGGGGCACTTAGTGATTTTGACCCTTTTTTTTATGTCCACGTTTAAATTAAGTTGCATCCCACCTAGATATATATATATATATATATATATTAAGGTGTTTTCCAGCACCAAAATATCATCAAAATTTCTTTTCACCATCACTATACACTATTCTCTCTGTCTAATGTTAGCCTTTAGTATGAATATTATTAGAAAAAGGATACCAACAATTATTCTTCTTGTAATTTTTGTTGGATTTGTGCCAAAATATGTATTGAGCCAATACTGTGGCTGTCAAGCACATTTGTGTTGCAGTGAATTTGGTTACTGTGGCACTGGTTCTGCCTATTGTGGCAATGGCTGCCAAGAAGGGCCTTGTTATAATAATGAAACCACACCATCTTCTCATAAATATTCGCCTCCTTCACCGCCATTACCGTCCACTTGTCACTGTCCATCGAATCTGTGCTGTAGCCAGTACGGTTATTGTGGCTCCGGCGAGGATTATTGTGGCATTGGATGTCGAGCAGGTCCATGTTATGATCGACTTCACCCTAACAATGTTTCTATAGAGGACATTGTGACGGAGGAATTTTTTCATTATATAATTAATCAGGCAGGATCGGGCTGTCCCGGGAAGAGGTTTTATACGAGAGATGCATTTCTAAACGCTACCGATGCGTATTATTTGTTTGGTAGAGTTGGTTCGCATGATGATTCTAAGCGTGAGATTGCAGCTGCCTTCGCACATTTTACTTATGAAACTGGACGTAAGATTCACATATTCTTCTCTTTACTATTATTTATAGTCTTTTATTCAAATATTGATGCTAACATTGGATTAACATATTTAATATATTTACTATTAGGTTAAAGAACAACATCTTTATTTTTATTATAAGCTCTTAAGCAATTCAATAAAAAATAAAAAATCCCACCGAATAAATATTGATTTCATGTGGTATATAAGCTTGTTATCGAAAACAACTTTGAAAAACACATTAATCTAATCATTAATTTTGAGTTTTTATTCATGAATTTATTTTTTCTTTAACAATTTGCTTAATTAGGACCCTCTTAAAAGGATAACTTTAAACGTGCCGATAAGACAGTTAAAAACCATGTCTTTTAATCTTTTACCTAATAATATAAAAGGTATATTTTTTTTTTTATTAAACCCCCCCTAGAAAAGAGCTAAAAAAACATTTTTGTGCAATTCTGTAGCGTTGCACCATACAAAGTTAACATAAGAAAGTTAAAACATTTTTTGTGTGTAGATTTTTGTTACATAGAAGAGGCAAATGGTGCATCAAAAGACTACTGCGACGAGTCGAACTCATTGTATCCCTGTGCTCCCGGAAAGCTCTACTATGGGCGAGGACCGATCCAACTCTCATGGAATTTCTACTATGGACCAGCTGGAAACGATATTGGATTTGATGGATTAAACTATCCTGAATATGTTGCCACTGATCCTCTCATTTCTTTCAAAACTGCCTGCTGGTTCTGGGTGAACAAAGTTCAATATAACTTGCAGCAAGGATTTGGTGCAACAATTAGAGCCCTCAATTCTGCGGAATGTAATGGAGGAAACCCTGCGGCTGTTAAGGCTCGAGTTAACTATTACCTTGATTATTGCAAAGGGTTTGATGTGGATCCAGGACAAAATCTGTATTGCTAAGGCTCGAGTTAATTATTATGGAATAATCAATGCCTCTAGCTTGATAGTTACAGGGGCTAGGAATGGTTAAACTTGGTGTGTAACCAGTCATTATAATTAATAAATAAAGAGGAGAACAATAAATTAAGGTTGATGTAATCATCCATCAAGTTGTTATTTATTTGTTTTGTGTTGCAAAAAAATACCCGAAGTTATAAGAATTTATCTATACTGAAGTTTGTTCAAGCGTGCAATTGAATTTGCTTATTGTCAATTTTAATAATGTGATGCATTTATCTACACCCAATCTCGGGGGGGAAAAAAAGCTATGAAATCGGGTTTTAAACTATTCTTAATAAATAAAAATGTATTTTTTTTCTTTTCTAATATGTGACATAATTTGGATATTTAATTAATTTATAATGTTGAATTTATAATTTTGAATATATTATAAAAATGTTATAAAAAAAGGAAAGTTTAAAAGAATTCTTTTTAATAAAAAAGTTCTCTTTGTGCATTTTTGTAATACTGGGTAGAAGACAAGAGGTTTTTTAGGTTATTCTGATAAAAACATAATTTTATGAGATCATATAATTCTTAATACCATGACTCATAATATTACATTTAATTCAAATAAAAATATGTAATAGGATTGCATCATCAAGATCACTACAGTTAGTTGAGGATGAAAAAAAGTCTTAGGTATTTATCATAAAATTTGTAGCTAATTATGAATCAAAATTAGTTTTTGACTTTAAAGTCCAAAATTATCAAAGTCAACCGGACCAGAACCATAGCGAGTAAGATGCTGCTTATACTCGCAATTTACACAGTCGGGTTGGATTGACTTATAAATACCCAAAACCCAACCTGTTACCTAATTTCAAAACATTTGAAAAAGAAGGAAAATATAAATAGTTAGTCCTTCCACACATTACATATATTTCGACATTTTATGTATGTATATTAGGATACATTATCTCTTATTCTGACACATTCTTGCATCACGATGATGTTTGGAAATTTGTATATTTAGAATCAATGACGGATCTAAAAATTTCTGTTAGGATGAACCAAAATAAAAACTAATTACATATTAATATTTTTGTCTATTAATATTTCTGTTAGAGTAGACTGAAATCTAAAAATTATACATATTAATATTTTTTCTAAAAAAATTGAGGGTGAGCCAACTAGAGTAGCATCCGCCCTTGTTTAGAACCTAGTTGCAACACAATTGGTGTTTGGGTACATTGACCTATGACATTGTTTCTCTCTATCGTCGCAAGATTATTGGTATGACGAGATTAACATGACTAGTTAACGATGATTTCCATTGTGTTGGTGTATCATTATTGCAACTCTATTTTAATTTATAATATGTCGATACAATTATTGCATCTTATGACATTGAATTTCCTGCAATGTATGTGAGTTAATGGAGATAATACAATCAATTAGGTTCCCATTGTAGACCGACTCTATTACTTGGATAAATTCCAAAATAATACATCTCCACCAAAGATACATAAAAGCATAATTAAGCACATCTGCATTTAATATCATTTCATTGTAACCATTAACAAAGGTGAATGTTACCCAAAAAAAAAAAAAGACAATTATTAGTGTTTTTTCTCAAAAATTTAAAATTTTCCTTACGCAATCAATAATCTTTCTTATACTATGAGATTTAATGTCTACAACTTGTTTCATATAAAAGTAATAAATGTCAGGCTTTACTATTATTTAAAAATAATTAAAGGTCACCACTCACCAATGATTTAAATTTATTTGGATTATGCAAACATGTTTAGGAATATATTAGTTTGTTATTATTAAAATAAAAGCATAATGACTTCCTAAGTCAACACCTAAGTGAAGAAACTCATGAATATTCGAGAAAATTGAGAGAAAAATATAATAAACAATTTTCATTAGCTGTATATAAAATAGAGAGAGAGAGAGAGAGAGAGAGAGAGAGAGAGAGAGTCAAATCCAGGTCTTTTGAAAAAGATGGCAAACAGTGAGGCTATATGCAAAGTACACCGTTTTTTCCATTTAAGGTGCAACAACTTTGAAACTTAACACTTTGGTCCCTGTAGAAATCTGGAAACTGGAAATTGGAAATTTCTTCTGCTGTATTCTGCTCAACATTCCCCCTCAAACCGGGCTACTAGTTTTTCTTGGAAAAACTTGGTTTAACTACCTCTACACTTTGCTCAATATTCCCTCTCAAACTAGACTTACTGTTTCACTTTCTTCTGCTTCAATTTTCTGCTACAAATAATCTGATATACTTTCACTGCAGCTTCATTTTCTGGTACCGCAACTTTCTTGTCTGCAGTCTTTATCTACTAAATACTTAAAGAAACAATCTATGGTTGCAAACAAATACATCTGCATATAACTCAATCTACCAACAAACAATCTGCATATTATTTCCAAACAATTGCTCCTGCAAACAACCAACAACTGTAGACAGTGGCGGACCCAGGAGGGGGCATGGGGGCCTCCGCCATTTTTTGTCAGATAATTAGTGAAAACTTAAAAAAAATCACCAAATCTAAGCAAATGAAATAATACAATATCAATAATCTAAAAGAAAATAATACAATAACACAATACTTTACTATTTAAATAAATCTATAAAAAGCAAAACTTTAAGCAAATTATGTTGAAAATAAAATCCAATTCATAAGGAAACACAAGAAAATTTTTAGGTAGAAAATCCTGTTCAATTAAAGTAAGCAAAAGACCACGAGACTCTAACGATCCATTTAAATCCAATATAATTAAAAGAGTTTACAATAATCACAATCCATCAAAAATATTCTACAAAAATTTCTTATTTCTCCTCTCTTTTTTTTTTTTTTTTTTTTTTGGCTTTTAAAGATTATAATATAAATTTTCATGATTTTGATCAAGCCTAACCTAAGCTAAAGTCAATCAAAACTTAAATTATGTTAACGTTGTCTTGACTTTTAATATGAATTAATAAAAAAGGGGGAAATTTTCTTAGCATAAACCTAGATAATAATTCAAACTTCTTTAATAATTTTGAGTAGTTAAACAGTGACTTTTGAAATGTAAGAAAATGTGGGTGAAGGATTAAGAATAACGTTCAGTAAAATATAGTTAAGGTTTCATTTGGGAAAATAGAAACATTCTTAGACAGAAAACAAACTCACAAGACCCATGCCTTTTTCCATCAAATTAAAATAAAAAACCTCCAAAAAATAAGCATGATTCAACCCTAAAATAAACTAAAATGAAATGAGTAATACACATACCTAAAACTGATAAAACAGAAAATGAAGCTAATTGTAGCACTGTAATAACTACTTCTTACTCAAATACTCATATAAATATACATAATAAATTACATATATAATAACAAAAGTAGTTGGACCCAAATTTTTATTTTATTAAACATATACATTCTTTATACAAAATTAGTATCATAAACAAAAACTATCAAAAACTATGTAGATAGTGTAGTCGTTCCTCCTCGCGTGCCGACGTCTATCCGACCGTGTCCTCACCTAAATCCTGCAAAAACATAGAAAGACAACAGGTGAGTACAAATAATGCTCAGTAAGTAAACCTCTAGTCATCTATCCCTGTAACTCTCTCTCTAAGTCTTTCCTTACAGTTCTTATTTACTCTCTCTTTTATACTTCTCTCTGTTTTCTCTTTTTGTTTCTCTCTTTCTATTTCTCTTTCTTAGAACTCTTTTCTACTAACTCTCTTTAGTAAGTCATAGCCCCATCTTACCGGGGGCACTGCAGGGACTCGCTCCCGCTATCCGTGACTTCTACTCGTTCTTAGCCGATCGGACTCAGTTATGTATGGATTCGGAACCCTTGGCCATGTGAGTATATAATCTCTCTCTCGGGTACTCTTGGGTATAGCCCTCATCCGCATGCACTCTCACGGGCTACACCACTTCTCTCTCTCATAATCATGCCGCTCTCTCGATGTGACGTACATGCAGGAATACTCTACCCATTACTCACAGGTTCCCCATCGCACAACCTACTCTATTCTCTTTTTCTCTCTTTTCTCTTAATAAAGCTCACACTCAAAGTTCTCTACTCTTTTTCTACTCTTTCTCTAATGCATAATTAATGCATATGGATGATTCATGCTCATTAATGCGCTCATAAAATGCACAAATGCAATGTTGCATCAAGATAGTCATTCTGCACAGGTCACACTCAAGAAGGCATAACTTGAGTTATACATATTGGATTGCTACGATTTTGATCTCGTTTTAAAGCTTAGAGACAGGGCTACAATTATGTTTTGGTCTCAACCCAGTTCAATCTGTAAGATGCTCAAAAATCACTCAGAAGGTCACGGCTGTGACAAGACAGTTTTTACTTAGGCTTTTCACTTGGGTATTTCATCAAACATAATGCATGCATACTTTAATTCTATTTTTGATACATCTCTACTTCTTTCTTTAACAATCCATTCATGGAGCAAAAGTCCTCCACAATAAATCTAAACATAGCCAAGAAAAACACTTCAAATATTCTATTTAAATTCTTTCTAAATGAAACCAAACTTCACTTGGTTACCACAACTTCATTTCTACTTCTCATGGCTCAAATCTTCTCATCAAAAGCCATCAACTCATCAATAATATCATTCTCAACAATCAATCTCAAGCTCATAAACATAAGCATGCATATCAATCATTTGATTACTTGAACCTTAACTTGGGTTAGATTTACTTACCTTATGGGTAAATGGCTTCTCTAGCACTTCTCCTTCGCTTTTGTATCTTGTCTTCTATCTACAACTTTAAACAATAACAACATAAGACTTTAACAGATCATAAGCAAATTCTCATCTAAAGCAAGAATCCTTACCTTAGGATGATTTAGATTAAATCTCTACTAAAAACTACCCCAAAAATCCTTAGAAATTCTTGGAGGATTGAGAGAAATTAGGGAATGAGAATGGCGGTGGAAACGGTGAAGAATGAAGGGCTTTCAACACTTAAAACCCTTTTTAGCTTAACTTACATACAATCATTCCCATTTTGCCCTTGCTTTTTCTTAGAAATTCCATCTATGTCCCTTAGTCAATTACAATAATGCCCTCATTTTTATTACATTCTCCATGAAATTCTATCTCTTTTCACTCCTCAATTTTTCAACTAATTTTGAGTGAAAAGACCATTTTACCCCTAATGAAAGTTTAAGTGATTTTCTTCACATT